GTCACCCCCCCCCTGCGGAAATGGCCGATGCATTAAAAAAGAAAAAAGGTAGATTGGAGATGGTACCAGTGTAGAGGGGGAAGTCAAGGAAGTAATAGATTTAAAAGTACACAGCAGAGGTTACTGGTCATAGGTGTGGGTAGGAAGAGGAATGAGTAGTGGGATGGTGAGGTAAAGTGGGCAGTAAGGGAGAAAAGATAGCACATGAAAAATTTTACTATAAAAAACAACGTTCAGAAGGTGGTGTATATAGAGAGAGTTTAGGAGTGATGAGGGAGTGGCTGAGCTTTACTATCAAATTTAGCTGAAAATATGAAGTAACTTTGTAGAGGTTAATAATTTAAGAAAATTTGGGGGAACAAATGAGCTTTGCAGTTAAGAAAAAAATGTCAAATGGTAGATTGGGAGGTGGAGGTATTCTAAACATAGAAAATATTTTGAGGAACTGAAAGTTGTTGAGGAAAGGAAAGGAAAGTGATGATTCCATGCATTGGGCAGGGAGGCATAAGATCTGATAGCAGTGGGAAATAGCTGGATAAAGCATGGAGGAAGTGCATGTAATAATAGGTAGGATGAAAGGGGTAAATCACCTGGGACAGATGGCATTAAGATTGAGATCGTCTAAGTTAACCATACTAAAATAAAGCTAAATGTTTTACCTAGCTCTGCTTAAAAAACTAATTATGCCATTCAGGTTAGGGCAGAGGATATGCAAAAGTATAAAATAATTAGGTTTATGACTGAGAGCATACCTCCCTCGTCTTATTTTCAGAGGTTGACGTGTGTTTTATGTGAGAAGACTCTCCACAAAGAATAGTACATTTTGTGTAGATATGAATAGTTAACACAATTTTTTCTTTTGCAGTTGACTGTCCAGGAGAATTTAACTAGTCTTCTACCCTCAAGTTCAGCAAGTACTCCTGGTTCTCATGCCTTTAAGAAAAGAAATAATTCACAGGAGACTTCACAGCCTGTTTCAGATGTTACAGGATCAGAAAAGGAAGAAATGAACTCTGAAAATATTTCCTCTGAAAATTGTTCATCTCTCTCTTCCAAAGCTGCAATAGATACTACAGCAAAATTAAAGCCCATAGTAACTTCGGTATCTTCAACTGATGATTCTTCAAATATATTTGAATTTGGAAGATCTAGCAACAGTAGTACCTCTCAAAATACATTTGAGTTTAATCCTAGATCTGCCATATCTAGATCTTCATTTACAAGGTATGTAGATGTTTATAATGTAGTTTTGGAAAAGGCTTATGATAGGGTGCATAGGGGGGCAGTGTGACAGATGTTGCAAATGTATGAAATAGGAGGTAGGTTATTGAAAGCAGTGAAGAGTCTTTACGAGAATGAGACTCAGGTTAGAGTATGTAGGCGAGAGGGAGATTATTTCCCAGTAAAAGTAGGCCTTAGACAGGGATGTGTGATGTCACCATGGTTGTTCACTATATTTATAGATGGAGTTGTAAAAGAAGTGAATGCTCAGATGTTGGCAAGGGGTGTGGGATTAAAAGATAAAGAATCTAACACAAAGTGGGAGTTGTCACAGTTGCTCTTTGCTGATGACTCTGTGCTTTATGGAGGTTCTGAAGAAAAGTTGCAGAGGTTGGTTGATGAGTTTGGTAGGGTATGTAAAAGAAGGAAATTAAAAGTGAATATAGAAAAGAGTGAGGTGATGAGGATAAAAAAATTAGGTAATGGAAGATTGGATATCAGAGTGGAGGGAGAGCATATGGAGGAGGTGAATGCATTCAGATACAGTGGAACCTCAACTTACGAGTTTAATCCGTTCCGTGACGTAGCTCGTAACTCAATTTGCTCGTATATCAAATCAATTTTCCTCATTTAAATTAATTGAAATGTCATTAATCCGTTCCAGTGGAATTCTTCCTCTCATGAGGCAGGACAAAATACTTCAATATAATGCTAATATCAACTCTGCAGCTTATTTATCTATCACACTTGATCTAATATGACATAATAAACAACATAAATAACATAGAAACATGATATATACCCTAGAATGAATAAAATGTGTCATGTGATAAGGGGTGGGGGCCATTGCCTCTCCTGCACTGACCATGTCTTCCCATTGTTCCCCTTCTGAAAATGGAATGTTTGTGAGGCTAACTGCACTAGATCACTTTCATAAGGAAAACACTGAAACAGTGTATTGATAAATAAGAAATATTGTATAAAAACATAATAAAGCATAATAGAGAATGTAAAGAAATGGTTTTGTAAAGTGTATGTACATATTTACCTGGGAGAAGAGATGCTGGCGAGGTGGAGGGTGGAAGATAGGCAGAGCAGTGTATGGTGTCAGTTGCCCACAACCTGCACACCTTGCTTTTGTTTATCTATGATTTCATCCTATAATTCCATGAACATCATCATCATTTTCTTCTCAGCACTGCCCTTTGCACGTACTTTCTTAGGACCCATGGTTAGAAATTTTTTTGGCAAAATAACTGTACAAAATGCAAGCAAAGGATGAGAGAAATGCTTCCACTGCACAGGCGGATGTTTTGGCATTTGCTGCGCTGAAAACCGTTTAAGGGGGTTTTTTGGGTTTGCGTTTAAAGTTTTTTTGGGGGTTGTTGTTCTTGTGGATGTTCTTTTTTTTTAATTTTCTTTCAAATTTCTTTTTTCCTATACTTACTTCTAATTTACTACTACTACTATTTACTACTATTTACTACTTACTATTTACTACTACTTATTCCCTACTACTACAAACTTACTACTCCCTTACTACTAAAAACTACTATTTACTACTTCCCTACTTTTACTACTACTTATACTACTACTACAATTTACTATTTACTACAATTTTATTTACTACTACTACTTACTACACTCTACTTAATACTACCTTACTTTAACTACCCTACTACAACTAATTTCCCATTACTACTACACTTACTACTATTTAATTACTACTATTTACTTACTACTCTACTATTTTACTACTTACTACTACTACTTACTACTTTACTACAAACTTTACACTACTATTACTTTAGGGACAAACCTATTACAAATTATTTTCTATTTACTACTATTTATTTACTATTTAAACCTAACTACACTTTACAAATTTACACTCTTCTCCCTAATTTACTTTTACAATTTCCCCAACACTACTTTTCTACTACTATTTAACTACTACTTACTATACTATTTACTAATACTATTTATACTTATACAAACAAACTACTATTCCCCTACTATTTACTATATTTAACTAACTTACCTACTACTACTTACTACTATTTCTCCCTTACTACTACAAACTACTTACTATTTACTTTTACAAACTACTATACAAACTATTTACTATTTAAACTACTACAACTTTAAACTACAACTACAAACTACTATTATACTACTACTTACTGTACTTTTATGCTACATTTTACTGCTGCTACTTACTGCTGCTATTACTATTTAAAAATTTACAACTATTTTCTTTTACTTACAATTTACTACTAATTTCTACTACAACTTACTACTATTTGTACTAACTACTACAAATTACTACTCTGCTGCGCTGTGTGCTGCTGCTGTGCTGCGGGCTCCCTGCTGCGCTGCTGCTTACGCTCACTACCCCTACTACAACACAACTATACAAACTATTACTGCCTGAACACTATTACTACTGTTTTGCGGGCTGCTACTGCTGCGCTTTTAAATAAAAAACACTGCTGCTGTTTGCTGCTTTGCAAATTAAATTAAAACTGCTGCTGCTACTGCAAATTAACTTCTGCGCGCTCTGCTGTTTTAAATATTACACTACTGCTGCTGCTTTTCTATTACTGCTGTGCTGCTGTTTTTGTCTTGTCGTCTTAATTCGTTCTAAAAAAAATCGGGGAAAAAAAACAGAATTAAAACGAAAACTGAAGCAATATTTACCATAAGAAAAAATTAAATCCTTTTAAATTTCCTTTCCCAGAAAAACCCAAAAGGGTATTAAAAAAAAAAATATATTTTATAGAGAATAACTATAGTTTTAAACACAAAAAACAATAAAAAATTTAAATATAAATGCAAATTGAAATGGAAAAAATGAACATTTAAAAAAAAAACCCCCACTTATCCCTTTTTTTTTGGGGGAAAAACCTTGTTGCCGTATGGAAAAAGCGAAGAGGGGGAGGGAAAAGGAGGGTTTAAAACTCTCCCTTTTCCCACCATAAATACCATTTTCCCCAAACCCTCTACTAAAGAAAAACAAAGCCAGACTGACTCAGAACACCGGGGATGCTTTGTGTAGGCGCGGGGGGGAAACCCCTTTGGGGATGGAGGACCCTTTTTAAACTCGACAAAAACACCCAAGATTGAAAACGGGGAAAAATTTTTTTGATGAAAAATTCGTAAAAAAACGGGAAATTTAAAACGAACACCCAGGGCAAAAAAAAAAACCCGGGGTTTCCACTGTTTTTTTTTTTTTAAAACAAGTGGGCCCCTTTCTCCCCCCGAGGCAGGGTGACCCCAAAAAAAAAAGGGAAAATCCCCAAAAATAAAAAAGCTTTCATCATTCAACATTTTCCTCACTCACAAATAATCCGTTTTTCCCAGGGTGCCCAAATACAACAGTTTAGAAGTTTTTTTTTTTTTTTAAAAGGGCCCGGGTATCCCACCGAGGCAGGGGGGCCCCAAAAAAGAAAAACAAAAATTTTCTTTTTAAAAATTTAGAAAAACTTATCGGAAAAGGGGGTTTTTCTAGCCCCTTGCCCCCGGCTTTTTTAGTCGCCTTTTTTCAACACGCTTTGGTTTTCCGGGGGAAGAATTCTTTTCCCCACTTCCCCATGGAGATAAGGGAAAAAAACAAAAACCCAAGAAAAAAAATAAAAAACCCCCAGAGGGGATGTATTTTTTGCTTGTACATATTAAAATATTGGAAAGTTTGGAGGGATATGTTGTGTATCTTTTTTACGTATATTTTTTCTAAACTTTTGTATTTGAGCCCCCTCTGCAAAAACAGTGTAATTTTGGGGAGTTGGTGAAAGTTTTGGGAATTTGATGTTGAAAGTATTTTTTTTTTGGGGTTTTTTTTTTCTTTTTTGGGTCCCCCTGCTTGGGGTGGGGAAAGGCCAATTTTGGTTGGAAAAAAAAAAAAAATGTATTTTTTATGTGACCTAAGTGAAAGTAGAAGTATTAAAGACGTCCCTGAAATCTTGCATGTTTATGAACAGAAAAAGGACACCACCCAATCCTCCCAATCATGTAAAAAAAAATTACGGGTTTTGTTTTTAAATTTTATTTGGGCGGGACGGTAGTACCCCCCTGGGCGGTTGCTGTCTCCCAACCCTACTCCCTAGGCTTTTTAAGAATTTTTAAAACGTATAAAAAACCATATTTTCCCCCAAAAATGCCAATACCCCCAAATTTCCCCCCCTTTAGAGTGCGGGGCATTGTATTTCCCTTTTCCAGGACTCAAGTCTGGCTATAAAAAATTAAAACCCCGGTTTTCCCCCCTGAATCCCTTAAAAAAAATTTATTCCCCCTGCTCAAAAACCCCCAACAGCTCGTCAGGTCCCAAAAACCATTCGCCCCAATTCACTCCTACCCTAACACACTAACGCACGTTTGCTGGAAGCCCAAAAACCCCCGCCCACAAAACCCCCTTTTCCCCCCTTTCCCCTTTTAACCTTTTTTTGAGGACGCCCCTGGGCCCGCCTTTCCCTTCCCCCCTACAGATTTATGCTCTTCCATGGTCATTCTCCTTTGTTCCATTCTCTCTAAATGCCCAAACCACCTCAACAAACCCACTTCAGCCCTCTAAAATTAAAATTTTTTATTAACTCCACCCCCTTCTAATTCCACGCTCTGAATTTTCTGCTTTTAATTTTTTCCCCAAACTTTCCCCTTAGACGGGAAATCCCCAACTGTCCCCAACCCCCCACCCGCTGCGCATTTACAACCCAAGCTTAAACACCCTTTAAAAATTTTTGGTACTACTATATTTTTTTTTACATTCCCTTTTTTGCCCCCCATAGATAACTTTTTTTTGCCTCCACAAAATACCTAAAAGCACCGTCACCTTTTTTTTTTTCACCCCCAAAAATTTCTATGTTAGCCTTACCTTCAAAATCCATCCGCTACACTTCAACTCCTAAATATCTAAAAAATTTTTTCACTTCTTCCCCATACTCCTCCCCTTTTTTGGGATACCCAAATTTTTTTTCTTTAAATTTTTGATACCCTCATCCCCTTAC